AAATTTCCGATATCTCGGGCAGTGAAATTTGTTGGCTTGCTTGGGTCTTTCTGAGTAGCATATAAATTGGTTTCTGATGCTATTTGATCAAACAGTTCATCAGTGAAAAAGTACTTAAAGAAGCTGTATGGTGTCTCCAAATTTAAAATAGCAGAAGGAAGGTCTGTAGATCCATGAAAGGTAAGTTGTTCTTCATTTAGCTTGATACCCACATGGTTCCATTTTACTTTCTCTTTCTTCTGTTTAGATTTACCTTTTCCTTTTTGAGATTTGGACTTGGGTAACGTGTCTTGCGTAGCCGTTGAAGTGGAGGGTTGATCAAATTCCAAGACACTTTCACTTTCAATTTCATCCTCTTCATTTGCGAAAATTATTGGACTGGCAGTTCTTGCATCATCTTCGTCGTCACTCGGTAAATATGGAGGGTCAGCCACACTATCAGTGTCTGAAAAGTCCAGACCATCCTCACTTTCTGATAAGTTCGCTAATATCTTTGCTAATTCCTCATCCGTCAGACCTTTTTTGCTACTCATGCTACAAAATATATAGGACCTTAGTGCATATTGTTGCAGATATGCTACAATCAGTATTTCAGAAAAAGAACAATGACTTTGCTTTGTAGGTTATCTTAATTTTATAAATTAATTAATAATCCCTTGTTTTGCATCTTTTTGAGGAAACTCAAGAATCTAGACATAAGGATTTTAAAAAATTGTTATATAATATATTATGTTTTCGAGAAAAACAAATCGAAAATCAACAAACGAAAATATATTTCATCGTCTTTTAATATCGTCTGACCCCCTAATAACGTTACTAAGAACGGCTACTTAGGAGAAATACAAAATTTGTAAAATATGAGGAATTATTATAGGAAAAAATTTTAAAATTTAAATTATGTTTATTTATTTCTTAAAGTGTGCTGAGTATGTGTATAATATGTATTTATTTACAATAAAAAAGTTATTGAATTAATTTCGCCATCATTTCACCGCGAACATTTAAAAAAGGCATTTAAAAAATAAAGACCTTTATTTTTTAATTAAAGTATAGTTAATTATGCCTATTAAGTCTTATTTAACACAGTTAAAAATAGAAAAATAAATATTTCATGCAATAAAAAAGTTTGATTTTTTCCTTAATTGATGCTTTAATTAGGACCACCTAAAACGCATTTAAAAATTAAAATTCGTTATATTTTTCAATTAAAATAAAGTTAATTATACCTAATAAGTCTTATTTAACAAATAAAAAAATAAATATTTTTTTGCAATAAAAAAATTATGGGGTTATTAAAGGGTGTATCAATAAGAGCGCAAGATTTGAATTTCGCCTCAGTTTGGCAACCATGATGTCACATGATTAATGACATGACAGATTGATATGAGACAGATGGAAGTTAGTAAATATAGAGCATTACACGATAGAACAACCCGTCCTGATTGTTAAACACTATTATCAAAATGATGAAAGTTTAATTGCCACGATTCGTAAAGGGCGTCCAATATTTTTTCGAAATAATGTTCCTAAATCATCTACTGTAAAAAGAATAATCGAAAAATTTGAAAGCACTGCTTCGGTTAGTGATGTGAAACACACGACACGAGCTCGTTCAGAACAAAATGTCGCAGCAGTTCGCAAGAGTGTGGCCGAGAGTCCAGAGACGTCGATTTGCCATCGTGCACAAGAATTGGACATTACAAAAGCCACTCTTCTGCAAATTCTTACTTAAGATTTGCATCTTCATGCCTACAAAGTCCAATTGACTCAACAACTCCAGCCAAAAGACCATGAACAGCGAAGAGAGTTCACCAATTGGATCCTTGAGCAGCAAGAAGTGAATGCCGATTTTGCGGACAAAATCATTTTCAGTGATGAGGCCCATTTTCACCACTATTTAACACCCTTGGACTTTTGGCTGTGGGGTTATTTGAAGTCACAAGTTTATGCCAACAAGCCCGCCACCATTGAAGCCTTAAAAGCAGAAATTAGACGCTCTATCAACGAAATACCGCCACATGTATTCAATAATGTTATTGCAAATTTTGCCAAAAGAATACCTACGCTTGTGCCAGTTAAGCCGTGGTGGCCATTTACCAGATGTGTTATTTTATACATAATTTCCAAATGTGTACTTTATAAATCAATAAATATTTCAATGCTTTAATACTTAAAACCATGTTTTACTAAACTTTGAAATCTTGCGCTCTTATTGATACACCCTTTATAATAGATATTTACTTATTATTTATTATTATTATACATTATACGAGCCCTAACCACATAATGTTCGGACACTTCATAATTTATACAGAAATTTTTTTCGTGAATACTATCTCAAAATTATTAGAAGTTATGAAAAATTCAGCTTATTTTGGCATATACCCCTCGAAGCGATTTTTATTTTTAAAAAGTTTACCTTTTATTTTTAGCTTTTAAAAAAAGGCTAACTTTTTAACTTTTTTTTGCATGAGTAAAAAAAGTTATAAATGGGCCCATTAAAAAGAACATAAAATATTATACAAACCCTGAAAATTTGGTAAAAATTGTATAAATAATAAGAAAGTTATAGCGATATATATATCTGCAAAATCTCCCGTTTCCTAAGAAAATTGCAAAAACTCTTTAAAAATAGCATTTTTAAATTACTTATACTTTTTTATAACTTATTTATTTTTTACCAAATTTTCAGGGTTTGTATAATATTTTATGCTCTTTTTAATGGGTCTATTTATAACTTTTTTTACTCATACAAAAAAAAAGTTAAAAAGTTAGCCTTTTTTTAAAAGCTAAAAATAAAAGGTAAACTTTTTAAAAATAAAAATCGCTTCGAGGGGTATATGCCAAAATAAGCTGAATTTTTCATAACTTCTAATAATTTTGAGATAGTATTCACGAAAAAAATTTCTGTATAAATTATGAAGTGTCCGAACATTATGTGGTTAGGGCTCGTAATGCAGTAAAAAAGAAAAAAAATGGATATTTATTTGTTATAAAAAAAGTTTGTGAATTATTTCTATAAAACAGTGCTTTTTGATAATCTAAAAACGCATTTAAAAAATAAAAACCTTTAAAATTAAAATATGGTTTATTATACGTAATAACTCATTTAACACATTATAAATAAAAAATTAATATTTACAAAAAAAAATACAAAACCGTGCTTTTTGACGTGCGTTGCAGCACAAAAACAGAACAGTAAATTAAAATAATAACAATATTCCCATTATACTTACATTACAATAAAAAGAAATAGCAAAGATATTAATTCTTAATAAATTTATCTTGCTTTTTGCAATCAAGAAAGTACTTATTATTATTACAGTCTGGAAAGGTTATTATCAAACTGTCTTTAATCGAAGATTAAAGGTTCAATTCATATTTTAAATCTGGCGGTTTAAGGACCACGCCATTTTGATTGGCTCGCATGTTTAATATATGCAGATGCAGATTCAAAGGCAGTTCGTTTTTCTGCTATTGTTATTATTTTAAAATAATAAAGGTTTTTGCATGTTTTTAGATATTTAAAAAAAGGATAATATCAATGTTATAATACAATGTGTTTTATGTTTTTACCAGGTAATTCAAAAGATATTTTGTGAAAAAGAAAACATCAATGTTATAAATACAGGGTGTTTCTACTAAAAATTGACAACCTAAATTAGGTTACCTATAGAGATCTCATCGAGACTACCACTTTTTTCAAATAAATATTTTTAATTTGAGCTTTTGTTTTTGAATTATCGAACTTTGTTTTTAAATAAACCTTTTTATTAAAGTTAATTATATGCAGATTTAAAAAAAAATTGTAATTTTAATTTCTACCTACAATGTTTGTGTTAAACATTTAAAAAAATTTATCAACCGACGAAAATAACAGCTCCAATGAAAAATATTTATTTAAAAAAGTGTCGGACTCGATAATTATTTCTTATAAGATCTACAAACTTTATTATGTTGTCCACTTTGATAAACACCCTTATTAATTCTATAAAAATATTAATTTTAACATTTTTATGACGAGAGAAAAAATTATATTAAAAAATACGTATGTAAGTAGGTACTATTTTTTTAAATTCGTAAATTTTGACATTTTATTTTTTAGTACCTTTTGTAGATTTATTACAGTTTATACATTTAGCCACAGCGCAGTTTGAGATTATAACCCAACACATAAAATAACAAAAACAAAATAAAAATATTAAATTTGGATGTCTTACACTTAAAATAATAATTATTATAATTTTAATTTGGAAATAATATAATAATAATACACGCAATATTCTCTCCACTCAAAAAATATTAAATTATTATTATTATTATTAAAACATTACCAAACATAATTTAACATAATAATATTATTAAACAATGCAAGTTTAATAACTAGTTTCGAACGTCGAATGTGCCGTACTTACGCTTGGCGAACGAATCGTGGTTACTAAGTGTTGCACATAACAGAATATTTACTTTAAGCGTTTCGAATTAAAAAAGGTCCGCATGAGCAACGGAGAGAGATAACTAGACTAAATCTATTTTTAGACTCGAAAATCTGGCAACCCTGTCGGAAGTGTCTACGATGCAATTGTCTCTATATATGATGGAAGTGACTAAGTCACGGCCATAGTACACAAATATTTATTTGCGAAATCCTTTCCCCTCTCTAGAGATTCGGATTACGTAGGTTCCCCTTCACTTATATATAGTTTTAAAATGCTTGTATAAGCCTTCGTTCATGTGGAAGTTAGGACGCCTTGTTTATACTACGGAAGTGACAACTTAACAGGCATCGATATATATATATATATATATATATATATATATATATATATATATATATATTTATATATATATAAAATCTATTTCTTAAGTCTAATTTATAATAAACAACATGAGAACCTATTCCTAATTTTACCAAATCGTTATTTTAATAAACTAAACACGCTTAAATTAATGTCTTTTCTCCGACATAAAAACCAATTTAATTTTGCACTTAATTTTAGAAAGGCCCATCGATCCTGCTTTGATAAATCTAAGGGACACAGATAAACCAAGAGCTCCAATCTGGACACTACATTTAAAACCTAAAGATGGAAAAGGATTTCAAACTCCAGGTCCCTCCATGCTCCCTTCTACTTTAAATATAAAACATTATACATTGTAAGTTGTTTTAATATCGGGCGTTCTATAAATAACTCCTAACACCTAAAAGGGGTAAAGTCATGAATGTTTATGATTTTTTAATATGTTTTTAAGTTCAAGTAGTAAATATTTTTGTCTTTTTTATTTTTCTGAGCAAAATAACCACTATAAAATCATAAAAAACTACTAATAATATCTACGAAAAAAATAAAGGCTTTTTGTTGCTCAATCATCTGAGGTTTACATTGAAAAGAAGAAATAAAAAAACCTTGTTTATAAAGCTCTTTTTAAATAAATACAAGAAAATCGTGAAAATAAGGCATTAAATATAGTTAAATTTTTTTGAAAAAATACTATTTTATAGTCTGATCTCTTTCTAAGATTTTCATTTTTGTTTCTTGAGGTCGGTTTTATTTGTTACTGATATATCGAATTGCAAAGCGCGACGAACAGCGTGGCGCGTGACCGTGTCGCGCCATGCGCTTGCTCATGCTACAAGAAATCTGTCGTTTTCCCTAGGGTGTTATCGAAAAAAAGGTTTATCGCCCGGGGTTGCATGAAAGTAAAAACCCAGTTTTGCGTGCCCCAAAACACTACTACGCCGCCATTTTGATAAATGTCTGTTTTTTTCGGTTTTGCTTGTAGTTGAGCTTAGACTTCATCAAACTTGACGCCGCCATTGATAGGGGATTTTTAAATCAATCTTTTTAAATTATTTATGCGCTGGCGCCCTAAAAAAAAGTTATACGCCAGTCAACATTTTAGCTCTGCATTTTACGTTCCTTATGTATAATTATGACAGATGACAAATGAGCTATAAGAGATGTCGGTAATCTATTATTTGATCATTTTTTATATCTGTCACCTGTCATTTCTGTCATCTGACATCTGTTATAGCTTATTTTTGTCATCTGTCAAAATGTTAATTTTAAACGCGAATAAATTTTATCTAGTGCGACGTAAATATAAAATGTACACTTCCTTATGGGTATTTCCATTGTAAATGATGCGACACTGACACTGCGTTTTTTTCATGATAATAAAGTGTTGGTTCAGACATATCAAGATACGTTAATATACAAAAATAGTATAAAAAATAACATATTTAACTCAAACAAAATGTCAATATAAACTTTCAGAGAAAACCTTTTATAACGTTATGGATCGTGGGGCGCGAAATTAGAAAATAGACAAATGCGACCAAGTTGGCTTCCAAAGTTAATCCTCTAAAATTTTGGTTGAAAGCGTGTAGTAACATTTTTTTGTGTAAAACTTCAATAGTAATATTGTTAACTTTATTTTCTAAAATTATCTTATTATGTAACAGGTGCCACATTTGAACAATATTAAAAAAATGTAACATTTAGTAATGCAGTCCCTGTTTTCCATTACTTCAGCTAATCTATTTGGGATTGACTGAATTAAATTTAATTTAATATTTGTATTATTATCTACTCAGCACTCCTGCTGAAATATAAAGGTATTATTCGGATTTATTTGCTAGGCAGATTGTAGCAGTATGTTCTCCAAAACATAATTTTCGGCATTAAACCTTTTCTCTATGCTCCAACAAACACCATGTTCCTAAACACTTATCCAGCCCCATACGTTCACAGAGAAACGGCGATGAAGCAAGGGGGTTGTTGGTATACCGTTCTTCAAACCTAGTATTATCGGGACCATAAACACGAATTTAACCGTTATTTGACTGAAAGGTCTTTTCGTCAGTAAAAATTACCCTGGGATTGCGGTATATGTAATTTAATGCAAATATAACCCTTGATTGTTTTCGTTCTTTTGTAAGAAACATTTTTTTCAGCTGGTCTATTTTATACTTCAGATTTCTTGACCCTTCTGCTAAAGGTAGGTTGAGAGCCTGGAAATTATGTATCAATAACAGCATCCCTCGCTGTTGCAAATGGATTATTTCTTAAATATACCCAAAAAAGCAGCATCCTGTTCAGTGGTGGACAGTTTGAGACGACTTCAACCTACTTTTCGGTTTAGTAAATCTCCCAGTTCCCAGCGTTGCTTAATTTTTAATTTAGTTTTTTTTATTTATATTATGCAACTGCCCTATAGCAGGAATTCACCATCGTTCTTCGATTCTTAATACTAATTGAGCCTTTTCAACTTGAGATAACTGATTAGGCATTTTTATTTTCTACTGTAAGATATAGTGACTTAAGTCAGTGGAAAGCCGGTTTTACGCAATAATGTTGACAGTTTTAATGTATAAAACTGTAATTCACAGATGTTTGAGTAACAAAAAGCATCCAATGATTTTTTTGTATTTAAAGTGGTCATTTTGCCCCCTAAAAATGAAAAACATAAAAATTGAAAAAAAAAATTTAAATAAAAAATTGTTTCCAAAATTATTTATGAAACCAAAACATTTATCAGCCATTATCTGTGTTTGTGAGAAGCTCGAGCGAAGCAAAAAGACTCAACTTTATTGCAATATAAAGTCATGTAATAATATCCAATGGAGATCCTTAAAGACACGAATACTCACCATAGAGATGTAGAAATATGAATGTATGTTTTGATATAGAGCTTGATTTTTAATTCAAATTGTTTCATACCTTCATAATATATTCATATTATATCAAAATCAATAAAACCCCAAAATATATTTTCTCATTCCACATCACATGTTACCTTAATTTGAAAAAAATATATATTTTAGTGACTATTCTTATATCTATTATGTGTATGTATGTAAATAAAAATGCCTGGTTTTTATTACCCAAACTGTTATTATAATAACAGTGTGTGTATTAAAATTATAAAATTACCTATATTATAATACAAATTTAATATTTTAGAAAAGGCCGTTATCCTGGAAAGCAAACACAAAGCCCGCCTCTTTACGATCCCGTGGAACTAAATATTTACAAAAACAAAAAACCAGCATACAGTATAAGACCCAGGATTCAGGGACCAAAACCAAAACCGACTCCAGGTCCTGGAGACATCAATGATTGCTTTTGCAACAAAAATCGTGGATTCCAATTTGGTTTAAGAACATGCACTAAACCGTATATTACAAAAGATGATGAAATGCCTTGCCAAGATATTGAATATTATTAATGTATTAATTTTCTCTATATAAACTTTGACATTTTATAAATGTGTTTTGTTTTAAAGGCGTTTTTTCGCGTAATTACCACGAAATAGTATTGATAAATAAGTTATGACGTTCCGGTTAATTGATTGACATTTCAGAAATTTGAAGGCATCGGCCGCCGACGCTATAGGTTATACTTTTTATACATTTAAATTGTTAGTATCCAATAAAGGGGTGGTTTTTCGGTCAAAGCCTATGTTCGTTTATTTTAAGACCTTCGGCCGATTTTATTAAATTGATATTAAATTGCACTATTATTTTTGAAAACACAGATACAGATTGGCTACATACAGCTATACTGCCCTACTGTGGAAAAAGGCAGTAACTACAAAAAAATTCTAAATGCGTTTTCTTGGGGTGACGTTCACAATATCGAAATTCATTATATCGAATTCAAAATATCGAACACTTTTTATCGAAAATCAAAATATCGAAAATACAAAATGTCGAAAATCAAAATATCGAAAATTAAAATGTCGAAAATGATAATATCGAAAATTAAAATGTCGATTTGAAAATGTCGAATAATTAAAATTTCGAAAATTAAAATATCGATTTAAAAATATCGAAAATTAAAATGTATGATTAAAATCGAAGTGTATATATACAGAGGCGCCTCTGTAGATAAAGTTACGGTTATGCACCGAATTATCTTGGCTCCCTGGCTCCTGGAGATGCGCGTTTTATAGAAATGTACTCAAACTCAACAACACAACCCAACCGACCCCGCCCCATTGGCCCCCCCCCCGCCCCATTGAGCAAAAAACCCAACTAAAATGGGCAAATTCATGTTACGATAAAAATAAAACACTTTTTAATTACATAAATTAGCCCATTTTAGTTGGGTTTTTTGCTCAATGGGGCGGGGGGGGCCAATGGGGCGGGGTCGGTTGGGTTGTGTTGTTGAGTTTGAGTACATTTCTATATCAGAGGCGCCTCTATACATATACACTTCGGATTAAAATAATATGTCGATTAATTGAAATATTTAAACAAAATATCAAATTCAAAATAAGAAAATATGGTTTAGTTTCACATTAAAATTCGATAAAATAAAATTTCGATATTATCATTTTCGACATTTTAATTTTCGACATTTTGTATTTTCGATATTTTGATTTTCGATAAAAAGTGTTCGATATTTTGAATTCGATAAAGTGAATTTCGATATTATGAACGTCGATATTTTATTTTCGATAAATTGAAAATTCGATTAAATAAAATTTCGATATTATCATTTTCGACATTTTAATTTTCGATATTTTGATTTTCGACATTTTGTATTTTCGATATTTTGATTTTCGATAAAAAGTGTTCGATATTTTGAATTCGATAAAGTGAATTTCGATATTATGAACGTCACCCGTTTTCTTGTGCTATGATAAAGCTACGGACATTTTGTTTCTAAATTCAACAAAGAAATACAGTAAACTATCTCATACGTTAAATAAATCAATAAAATACCTACTGCATTTTATAAAAATGTAGTTTATGATAATTTTCCACAATTTCTTGTTTAGCAGTTACTGCCTTTCTCCATAGTTGGGCAGTTTATATATCTACGCCGAGCAGGCCCGTGAGCAAGGGGTGGTTTGGGGGTTGAATCCCCACCATTTTAGGTCCAAAAAAAATTTACCCAAAGAAAATCGTAACTGTAAAAGCAATACTAATAACCACTACAATAAACAAGTAAACAACTACCGTAAAACCGGGTGACTTGGGACACTTTTTTACTATTTTCATGGAATATCTTCTTAGGGTTTTAGGATAACAAACCGATTTTTTGCATTTAACAATATGGTTATCTTACCAACAAGTTAAACTGTGAAAAAAAAATGTTGAACTTTAAGGATCCCGGTTTAAAAAAAAAACTTGAGTGTCCCAAGTATCCTGCTAGTAGGATACTTGGGTCAGTCATTTTAAAATGCAGTTTAAGCATGTTAAAATAATATTTGGACGTGTGATATAGTGTAGGCGACTTGGAACAACACCTAGATTTTTAAAAAATTAAAAAAATACAAAAAATCCTTAAAATTATTTAAAATAAGAACAAAACTCATAGAAAAGGGTTAAAAAATTAACGAAAACCCTTTTTTTTTAAGTCACATGTAAAAACAAATTTTCCTCTTTTATCTGAGGGTTTTGGCAACTTCTTAGTAATTTGAGTGACTGAAACTGTGGCTATATCTTCAACAATTGGGAAGATGTAGCACTTCAGTTCGGAGTTAAATCTAATACATTTTACTTCATATTCCTTACCGCCTGGAATAGGGTGTCCCTTATTTTTTATTTTTTTACGCATACCCTCTAATTATATTTATTACGTGTTTATATACTCCCGGTAAAAATTTCAGCTCATTCTATAAACGGGAACCCGTGCCGACTTGCATCTGAACCCTCCGTGAGCCAACGTTAGGCGCGCGGTATTTTGTAACACGGTTGGCCGCGAGGTCTTCGATCGTAAGTCATTTTGTGTTTGTTATTATGTGACCCTTATATTATAAATTATTGACAAATATAGTTTTATTTATGTGTATACTTTGATAAAAATGTATATTTTCACAGGGAGTGGCTAGTTACCCGGAAGAGTCTAGTGAATATGCCGTAAACTCTGAAATTGATAAACTTAATGGAATTTACTCTAAATAACTAAAAGAGTCTATTGTGAGAGATGACTACCGATAACTGTCTGAAATATTTTTGGGAGGACATCAAGAAAAGAAATGCTTATAAAAAGCTGAAATTTCATATAACAGTATATTTTAGCAATACTAATTAGTATATTAATATATTTATGGGATAAAATTAACTAATTTTTTTTGGTTATTTTTTAGCTGTCATTAAGATATAATAAAAAAAAGAGTTTCGGGTAATTAGTTTTACGGCCTATTCACCCGACACTTCCGGGTAACTGCCACTTCCTGTAAAAATATTAATTTTTATTAAAGTATACACATAATAAAATATTTTAACATTTTTTAATAATTTATAATATAAGGGTAACATAATAACAAACACAAAATGTTACAAAATACCGCGCGCGTAACGTTGGCTAATGGAGGGTTCAGATGCAAGTCGGCACGGGTTCCCGTTTATAGAATGAGCTGAAATTTTTACTGGGAGTATATAAACAAGTAATAAATATAATTAGAGGGTATGCGTAAAAAAATAAAAAATAAGGGACACCCTAGCCTGGAATAATTTGTCTGATTTGACAAACAAACTGTTTATTTGTTTCTTTTTTTGTACCTTTATTATAAAGAAAGTTACTTAAAACAAAATCTCCTATTTCTATTGCTTTTTCATTGCACTCCTCCTTCTTAGTTTCCTCATCAACTTGATGAAGGTGAGTGCACTCAATCTGCATAGTAAAATCGTCGTTTTCTCCTTCAGGTTCCTGGAATATTCAACAATTTCTCCAATTTCTTCAGGCTCAGGATCTTCAGTGTGGCAATTAAACTTAAACAAAGTACCGTTTGTCCCAAGAATCCTGCACTGTCCCAAGCCACCCGGTTTTACGGTATTAATTAAGTTCTGCGAGCTTCAGAGATATCTATTATTATTATACTAATGTAAAGTATGTTTGTAACTTTCATACTAAAATTATATATTCAAATTTGTTTTTTCTGCAAAAATTACACTGTCTTACAAGGAATTTGCAACAGAGCGGAGATATTTGTTTTCGAGTTCAGGGCACCAAAAAACTTTGAACTTTGAATAAGATTTCCGAGGTAGTTTTAGGGTATAGTAAATGTGACGTCATAGTTAAGATTTTAGAACGCACTCTAAACGCGAAAATACATTAACTATTAACCAAGGTTAGGTTTAATAACCATAGTATTTCATAGTATTTACGCGAAAAAATGCCTTAAGTATTTTTAATTGTTATTAATGACAGTATTTAAAATAACTTGCAATCTTTAATGATATTATATTGTTCTTTAAGAAAACAAATGGTTGTATAAAAACACAATTTAATAATTTTACTATATTTTAAATATAGTGTAGAATACGTTACAAAATATGTATTATTTGTATTACACAAATGCAACGAACTAAATAAATACACCGAGAAAAATAATTTAAGACCATCTGTAAGATTCTTAATCTCAATTATAATAAATTATTTAAGATATCGCAGTAAAATAGGGGACATTAAGACCGTTTAAATACCATTATTGGATTCAATTTAATAACTATACTTTGTGACCACCACTTAATACAATTATCATAAGACCATCAAAAGTTTTTATATCGGCCATTAATATATATCTTATAATAGTTAAAATATTATTTTAGGATCATCTTAATATCATTTTAATATCTTCTTATGCCATCTTAATATAATCCTAAATTGGTACATATATGGCTAATAAATAATATATTTACCATTATAAGATCATTTATTTGCCATATATGTACCAATTTATGATCATATTAAGATGGCATAAGAAGATATTAAAATGATATAAAGATGATCCTAAAATAATATTTTAACTATTATAAGATATATATTAATGGCCGATATAAAAACTTTTGATGGTCTTATGATAATTGTATTAAGTTTGCCTATTGGTGGTCACAAAGTATAGTTATTAAATTGAATCCATTAATGGTATTTAAACGGTCTTAATGTCCCCTATTTTACTGCGATATCTTAAATAATTTATTATAATTGAGATTAAGAATCTTACAGATGGTCTTAAATTATTTTTCTCGGTGTATTTATTTAGTTCGTTGCATTTGTGTAATACAAATAATACATATTTTGTAACGTATACTACACTATATTTAAAATATAGTAAAATTGTTAAATTGTGTTTTTATACAACCATTTGTTTTCTTAAAGAACAATATAATATCATTAAAGATTGCAAGTTATTTTAAATACTGTCATTAATAACAATTAAAAATACTTAAGGCATTTTTTCGCGTAAATACTATGAAATACTATGGTTATTAAACCTAACCTTGGTTAATAGTTCATGTATTT